CTGAGCCACCTTCCCAGTCCTAAAAGTTCTGTTTAAGGAGCTTAATCACTGCTAAGTGAGGTGGCTCACATCTGTAATCACAGCTACTCAGGAGGCAAATATCAGAAAGATGACATTTCTTGACAGTTTGTACAAAGTTAGTAAGATCACATCTCTGGTTCTAGACCACAGGCATAGGTAGGAGGATCACAGTCCAGACAAGTCCTTGGCAAAAAGAAAGAGAAGTCCAACTGTTTCCATTCTGTCTCTCTAGGAAAGATAGTGAAGAGTATAAATACGGTATTCACATGAATGCGCTTCTGTGTTCACTGTGAAGAACTCTTCAGAGCCAGTGATCTCTAAATTTCTCACACTGGAATAAAAAACACTGAGCTGAGTCCACGTGGGGATTTGGTATAATTTCAAGTGCAACTTGCCAAGATTTGGTTAGAAAATATTATAGGATCATTGTAAGTATTGATTTCCTCTACAATCATTGTGTGTGTGTGTGTGTGTGTGTGTGTGTGTGTGTGTATGTGTGTACGTGCACTTGTGTGTGTGTGTGAGAGAGAGAGAGAGAGAGGGAGAGAGAAAAAAACAATGAAATAAAAATAAAAAAAGAGGGAGAGAGAGGGAAGGAGAGAGTCAATTGTGGGGTTCTTGAACTCAGGGCCTAGGTGCTGTCCGTGAGCTTTTTTTTCTCTGTACCACTTTGAGCCACAGCTCCACTTCTGGGTTTTTTGGTTAATTGGAAATAAGAGTCTCAGAGATTTTTCTTCCCAGTCTCACTTTGAACTGCAGTCCTCAGATCTCAGCCTCCTGAGTAGCCAGGATTACAAGCGTGAGCCACCAAGGCCTGGACTCTAACCAACAATTATGTATTTATTTTTATTTATTTATTTTTGGGGGTGAGCCCTGGGACTTTACTGACTGGAGTTTTACTGTGACAGCAGGAAGGCCTCCTAGAGTAGTGCAGCCAGCTGGGCCCACAGTGGCAGGCTGGCGTTGTCTTCATCAAGCCTCACACTCGTTGTTCTTGGAGAGTGCGGTAGCCCCCATGTTCATGAGGTTCTTGATGCCCTGGCCCTCCGCCCAGCCCATCTTCAGCAGCATCTGATAGCCGATGTCTGAGTGATCAGGCTCACTCTCGTCTCCATGGGCTTCTCCAGCTCATCCAGAGGCAGGAAGGCCCTGATGAAGGCTTGCCCAGTTCATCTTGGCCAGGTGCAAGGCCCATCAAAGGTCTTACTCATCTACATGCACCGCAGCTTGTGCTCCCAGGTACCCAGCTTGCTGTCCCCTCCTTGTCGCTGTCATGTCCGGTTTTCCGGTGGTTCATTGGAGATAAGAGTCTTATGGACTTTCTTGCTGAACTTTTGTTGGTCCGTGATGATTATCTGATCATCGGGCACCTGTAGCTAGGTTATTGTGGTAGAGAAAAGCTGTGCACTTAATGAGAACAAAAGGAAGGTGAGGAGAGAGAGGGACATACAGGGACAAAATAGAAATTACTCTTTACTTTTTAAAGGCATACACACCTCTAGTGATCTGCTGCCTCTACTAGGTTCTACCTGCTAAGATGTCCCTTTCTGTTACCTCCCAGTAGCTTCACAAGCTGAGGAATAAGCCTTCAACATGAACTTTTTGGGGATACTTCCAACACAGACTATGTTACAGTTGTTAGAGTTATTGGCAGTAGTTCTGTGCTGTGGGGACATTACTGAGAAGGAAGCAGGTTGGATGGGAGATGGACTTAAAAGCACTATAGGATTTGGAGGATCTGGTAGGGAGAGAGCTCAAGAGATGAAAACAGTAACCTTGTGGTTCATAGTGAGAGATATTGATCTATAGAGGTACCATTTGGGCAGTTGCTTGACTCCCCAAACCTCTGCCCCACAAATACTCCAGAGTCAGGGAAAGATATGTCATGACTGTTTACTTCCTCAGAGAAACTAAATTAAAATGTATGTATTGACAGACTATCAAAGCTCTGTTTTTTACTTTTTACACTCTTAAGGTACAGTTGTAGCTTTGTATTTGATTGTTTTGGTTATTATAAATTATAATAAAAATAATTTACTCTGGGAATGATGGCACAGCCCTATAAGCCTAGCTACTTGAAAGGCAGAGGCAGGAGGATCACGAGGCAAGGTAAGGTAATAGGGCTATCTCAAATACAAAGGTGGAAAAAAACAAAGATGTAAGTTAAAATTTCTAAAAGTGTGAAAGGAGAGGGCTAGAAGTATGGCTCAACTACTGCGTGTACCAAGTCCTGAGTTTGATCCCCAGTAATAAAGAGAAAGAAAACCAGAAACATTTAATTTGTATTCATTTTTCCCAGTAATTAAAAGTTTTGAGAGCAAATGTATCTTGTTTTGTTTACCATTGCCCAGTGACTGGCACCCAGTAGACACTGGTCAATGTTTTTAACAGTGTACTAGAATTTGAACTCAGGACTTTAGGGTTGCTAGGCAGGCACTCCAGCACTTGAGACATGTCCAGGCCCTTTTTGGTTTCGGTTACCTTTCAAACAGAGTCTCACATTTATGCCTGGGCCAGCCTGGACTGTGATTCTCCTATTTATACTTGTAGCTTGGATTACAGCATCAAATTATTTCCCAACTTTTTATTTATTGGTAAGATGATCTCATGAACTTTTTGTCCAGACTGGCATCAAACCCTGATCCTTCCTATCTCCTGTCTCCTGAGTAGCTAGAATTACACATCTGAGCCACTGTGCTTGGCTTTTTTGTTTTGTTTTGTTTTCAAGACTGTCTTGCTAATTCTTTTTTTTGGGGGGGGGGGGGGGTCTGGTTGTGGAGCCTGAACTCTGGGCCTGGGCACTGTCCCTCAGCTCTTCAGCTCAAGGCTAGCACTCTACCACTTGAACCACAGTACCACTTCCGGCTTTTTTCTTTTTGTTTATGTGGTGCTGGGGAATCGAACCCAGGGCTTCATGCATGCAAGGCAAGCGCTCTACCACTGAGCTACCTTCCCAGCCCCCAGTCTTGCTAATTCTTGATCCTCTTCCCCTCAGCTTTCTAAGTAGTAAACCTGCCTTCATACTCAGCTCCCGTGGTGGATTTAATCAATCAAATGCAGTGGTTCTCAGGCTGGGAATGTGGCTTTGGTAGAGTGCTTGCCTAGCATGCATAAAGCCCTGGGTTCGATTCCTTAGTACCACATAAACAGGAAAAGCCAGAAGTGGCACTGTGGCTCAAATGGTAGAATGCTAGCCTTGAGCAAATGAAGCTCAGGGACAATGTCCAGGCCCTGAGTTCAAGCCCCAGGACTGGCAAAAAAAAAAAGAACCCAAAAAAACAAAAAACAAGTACAGTAGTTCTTGTGTTCGTGTGTGTGTATGTGTGTGTGTGTGTGTGTGTGTGTGTGTGTGTGTGTGTGTGTTTGCACTCTACCACTTGAGCCACAGCTCTCCTTCTGGCTTTTTCTTTTTTTTTTTCTTTTTTCGGGGGGAGGGGGTCTGGTCGTGGGGCCTGAACTCTAGGCCTGGGCACTATCCCTCAGCTCTTCAGCTCAAGGTTAGAGCTCTACCACTTGAGCCACAGTGCCACTTTCGGCTTTTTTCTTTTTGCTTATGTGGTGCTAAGGAATTGAACCCAGGGCCTCATGCATGCAAGGCAAGCACTCTTCCACTGAGCCACCTTCCCAGCCCACTTCTGGCTTTTTCTATGTATGTAGTACTGAGGAATCAAACCCCAGGGCTTCATGCATGTGAAGCAAGTACTTTACCATTAAACCACATTCCCAGCTCTCTCAAGGTTTTTTTGCTCAAGGTTAATGCTGTTACCAGTGAGCTACATCTTGAGCCACGTCTTCACTTCCAGCTTTTTGATGATTTATTATAGATAAGAGACTTATACTCATCTCTAGTTAACCACTCAAAAATAGGAAGTGGCACTGTGGCTCATGTGGTGGAGTGCTAGCTTTGAGCACAGAGCCTCTAGGACAGTGCCCAGGCCCTGAGTTCAAGACCCACAACTGACAAAAAAAAAAAAAAAGAAAAAAGCCTTACGTACATTCCTGCCTATGTTGGCTTTAAGCCGTGATCCTCAGATCCTTAATAGTTTGGATTACAGGTATGAGTCACCAGCACCCAGCTCCAACTTTTTAATCTTTTCTAGCTCACCCGTGGATTATGACTTGCTTCAGTCTGAACCATTAGGGACTGTCCTGATGGCGAGGGAGAGCAGGGGAGTGGTAATAAGGTCATAGCCCTAGAATAGGAATACCTGTGCTCATAGGCCAGCCCTTCTCTCAACAAGCTTGCCCAAGGTCTTGAGCAAGTTTGTAATCTCTCTTTGACCCAGTGTCCCTATCTTTTTATTTTTCCCCAAGGGTGTGGGGGATGGTAGTGGGGGAGGAGGTTGTGGTGCTGCTATTAGGACTTGAATTCAGGTCCTTGATATTGTCCTTGAGCTTTTTTGCTCAAGGCTAGTGCTCAACCACTTGAGCCACAGCTCTACTTTCAGCTTTTTTAGTGGTTAATTGAAGATTAGAGTATCATGGACTTTCCTGCCTGGGCTAGCTTTGAACTACCATCTTCAGAGCTCAGCCTCCTGAGTAGCTAAGATTATAGAGGTGAGCCATCAGCACTTGGCTCTCTAGTGTCCTTATCTTTAAAGTATAGCGGGTAATAGTGTATACAACATGTGGTTGTCATGAGATTATGTGAGAGAATTCACGTAAAGCTTTTAGAAAGCATGTAACGTGAAAGTTTTCTAGCACTATTAGTGATTTGAAAAATACCAATGTGATTTTCTTGAGCTTTCTGGCCTTTTCATTAAAAGATTTGCATAGTAGATACTTACCACATCTTTTATGTTTGTTTCTGACTTTGTTAGACTGTTGACCAGCACCATAAACAAAGCCATTCTTTACCTGTATGAGTTACCAAGAATTAGTAGAATGGTTACATAGCTATTCATTTTTAGTAGCTTTCCCATGTGGAGTGCTGTCTGCTTTCCACCTGCTTTATCCTTGCTTCTTTGTTTCCCTTACAGAAGAAGTGGCTAAGTTGGAGAAGCACTTGATGCTTCTTCGACAAGAGTATGTCAAGCTGCAGAAGAAACTGGCAGAGACAGAGAAGAGATGCAGTCTTTTGGCTGCACAAGCAAACAAAGAAAACAGCAGTGAGTCCTTCATCAGCCGTTTACTGACGATAGTGGCAAACCTCTATGAGCAGGAGCAGTACAGGTGAGCTCCTGGGCACAAAGGGAAGTGAGACTTCAACCATGTCATAGCACATGACAGCTTCTCCTTTCACTTTTTAAAAAAATTTAGCTTATATTAGTTATACAAGAGGGAATACATTGCTATCTTCCCACACATGCTACAATATGTTATAGTCAATCTTACTCTTCTCTACCATTCTCCTTTCTCCTTTTCCCTCTTCTCCAAATAACCCTTATTCATTTTCTCTTTTTTTTTTTTTTTTGTCTGTCGTGGGTCTTGAATTCTGGGCCTCGGTGCTGTCTCCCAGCTCTTCAGCTCAAGGCGAGCACTCTACCACTTGAGACACAGTGCCACTTCTGGATTTCTGAGTGGTTTATTGGAGTTAAGAGTCTCACAGAGTTTCCTGCCTGGGCTGGCTCTGAACTGCAATCCTCAGATCTCAGCCTCCTGAATGGCTAAGATTGCAGGCATGAACCACCGATGCCTAGCTTCATTTTTCCCTCTTCCCTTTCCGCTTCCCTTTCCTCTTCCCTCCCTTCCCTTCTCTTGCCTTTTCCCTTCCCTTCCCTTTCCTTCCCTTTCCTCTTCCCTTTCCTTTTTTCTTTCCCTTTCCCTTTCCCTTCCTCTTCCCCTTCCCTTTTTGGCTTGCTTGTCTTTCCTTCCTCTTCCCCTCCTCCTCCCCTTCCCTCTCCCCCTTTCTTCCCTCTCCCCTCCCCCTCCCTGTCCTTGTCCCTGTCCCTTTCCTTCTCCCCTCTCTTCCCCTCCCTCCCCTCTCCCACCTCCCCTTCCCTCCTCTACTCTTCTTGGTGGTACTAGGTATGAACTCAGGGCCATGTCCTTGCTCTGGTTCTGTACCATTTGAACTACATCTCCAGTTCTTCCTCATTCACTTTCTGGCCAAATTTATTTCTCTAATAAAAATTATTATCAAGCCTTTGTTTCCTGGAATGTAAACTCATTGAGGCAAGGATGTTATCAAGGCAACTTTATTTGAAGATGGGGGAGTTAGCTTACATGCTTAGGAATTCAGAGAGGAAATGGTCATGTTCTCTTGGAATCCTGGAATCACTGTGTGGTATAGCATAATGGTTGAGTGGATTTTGGAGCCACACAGTCTGTTAGCAGCCTAAGGGGTTGTTGGCTGTTACAGAACATGTGATAGGTTCCTAATATGTAGCATGGGATTGCTACAGTGTTTACCTTAGGGTTGTTTTGAGGATTAAATAATAAATGCATTTTAGGCAAATAAGTGTGTAAACACATTGTATTTGGATAATTATTCACTTTTTTTTTTTTTTTGGGTCCGGTCGTAGGCCTGAACTCTGGGCCTGGGCGCTGTCCCTCAGCTCTTCAGCTCAAGGCTAGTGCTCTACCACTTGAGTCACAGCACCACTTCCGGCTTTTTTCTTTTTGCTTATGTGGTGCTTGGGAATCGAACCCAGGGCCTCATGCATGTAAGGCAAGTGCTCTACCACTGAGCCACCTTCCCAGCCCTGTTCACTTTTTTAAAATTGAGTTTTGAAGTAGATGCTAAGGTCTACATTGAATTCAAGGTAAAGACGGTGATATTATAAGTAAGGAGAGTAGCTGAGTAAGGGCTCAAAGATAGGAGGGACACAGAGGGTTTAGAGGATAGTGAGAGGGGGGCAGGTTAGCTCATGTGCCCATGTAGGGGAATAATGAGGGAAAAGGGACAAAAGGGACTGTAGTGAATGCTTAAGTGATAAATCTGAGCTTAATCCTCTGGTCTGCACGTGGCAGCTTTTGAGATAGGGACTCTTTAAATCCAAGTGCCGGTAGATTAGCCTGTAGGGTTGTATGTGTAAAAATAAAGAGGTAAGGGGAGCTGTGACTTGAAGTGGTAGATGCCAGTCTTGAGCAAAAGAACTCAGGGACAGCACCCAGGTCCCAAGTTCAAGCCCCAGGACTGACAAAAAATAAAATAATACCCTGGCACTGGTGGCTCATGCCTGTAATCCTAGCTACTCAGGAGGCTGAGATCTGAGGATCATGGCTCAAAGCCAGCCCAGGCAGGAAAGTCCATGAGATGCTTATCTCCAATTAACCACCAGAAAACCAGAAGTGATGCTGTGGCTCAAGTGTTAGAGCACTAGCCTTGTGCTGAAGAGCTCAGGGACAGCACCCAGGCCCAGAGTTCAAGCCCCACCACTGACAAACCTTTTTTTTTTTTTTTTGGGTTTGGTCATGGGGCCTGAACTCTGGGCCTGGGTGCTGTCCCTCAGCTTTCAGCTCAAGGCTAGTGCTCTACCACTTGAGCCACAGCGCCACTTCGGGCTTTTTTTCTTTTTGCTTATGTAGTGCTGGGGAATCGAACCCAGGGCCTCATGCATACAAAGCTAGCGCTCTACCCCTGAGCCACCTTCCCAGCCCCCCGACAAACATTTTTAAAAATTAAAAAAAAGCTGGGCGCCGGTGGCTCATGCCTGTAATCCTAGCTACTCAGGAGGCTGAGATCTGAGGATCGCGGTTCAAAGCCAGCCCAGGCAGGAGAGACCTTGAGACTCCTATCTCCATAAACCACCAGAAAACAGGAAGTGGCGCTGTAGCTCAAGTGGTAGAGCGCTCGCCTTGAGCTGAAGAGCTGAGGGACAGTGCCCAGGCCCAGAGTTCAAGCCCCACGACCGACCAAAAAAATAAAAATAAATAAATAAAGAGAAGAAAGCCGAGAGAATGCCTATAATGTACACAAGCAAGAGCAGAAACAGTGAAGGACTGACTTGGGATGATGACTGTGGAAAACAAACAAGTGAATGGCGTAATTCCCTATCTTGTATAGATGTGGTTGCCTCTCAAACCCTTTTTCCATGGACAAGCAAAAATTCTGCTTCCTACTGGTCTAAGGAGTCCCACATATGTCTGTTTCTGTCACGTCTTTCCTGTGCTCCAGTTTCTCTTCCAAGAGTGAGGTGTTTGCCATATCACTCATCAATGGACCACATTTCAAATGTTGTAGCTCTAGGGGCTGGGGAGGTGGCTCAGTGGTAGAGCGCTTGCCTTGCATGCCTGAGGCCCTGGGTTCGATTCCTCAGCACCACATAAGCAGAAAGAAAAAAAGCTGGAAGTGGCGCTGTGGCTCAAGTGGTAGAGCACTAGCCTTGAGCTGAAGAGCTGAGGGACAGCGCGCAGGCCCAGAGTTCAGGCCCCACGACCGGACCCAAAAAACAAACAAACAAACAAACAAAAAAAATGTTGTAGCTCTAGGAGACCATGAGAATGAGACTGGACAAGTTCCCTTCTGGTCTCTCTTACCTAAGCAGCTGTGTGTGGTTTCATGATTCTAGCAAATCTCCCTTCAGCTTTTAAAACCTGCCTTTTATCTAAAGAAGATTGAAGTGGCTGTTACTATCTATACTTAAGTAGAGCTCCTGTAGTGGACAGCTCTTGAGATGATGTATTTAAATTGGGAAATGGGTTTCTAAAGCAGAGTAGTAAAAAAGCACCTTTGTCCCATAGCACGTGTAGTGTTGAAGAATTTAAATAGTACTTTTATTTGCATCTTAGTAACTGAATTGACTGACATGTAAGTTTTATGTTTTTTTCTGTGGATCATGTGGAAAAAAACTCATGCATATGTTTAGTTCAAGAGAACAAAACTGTTTAGTCCCATAAGTGATTTAAAATGATAGTTTGCTGTAGTTCTTCACTGTATTACTGTATTCATGATGAATGAATGCAGGTCATAATTTTTCCTATTGAATGTTTAAGAAACTTTTTTTTTTTTCCTCCGGTCGTGGGTCTTGAACTTTGGGCCTCGGTGCTGTCCCTGAACTCTTCAGTTCAGGGTGAGCACTCTATCATTGAGCCACAGTGCCACTTCTGGTTTTCTGGTGGTTAATTGTAGATAAGAGTCTCACAGACTTTCTTGCCTGGGCACTTTGAACCGCGATCCTCAGATCTCAGCCTCCTGAGTAGCTAGGATTACAGGCATGATCCACCAGTGCCCAGCTAAGAAACTCTTAAAAAAAATTCTGTGTACTGGTACTGGGGCTTGAACTTGGGGACCTAGGTGCTGTCCCTGAGCTCTTTTGGTCAAGGCTAGGGCTTTTCCATGTGGGCCGCAGCTCTACTTCTAGCTTTTTGGTGGTGAATTGGAGAGAAGAGTCTCTGCCCCTGTTGACTTCAAATTGCTATCCTCAGATCTCAGTCTCCTGAGTAGTGAGGATTACAGGCATGAGCTTTAGTTTATGTATTTTAAAAAGATACTTTTTTTTTTCCTTTTCAGTTCTGAGAATCAGACCTACTTTTTGTAAATATTTGGCAAGTGTTCCACCACTGAGCTACATCCTTGGCCCAGGAAAATACTCCTTAATTGACTGAAATGAAGTTTTTTATTTTTCTTTTATTTTTATGAGTTAGGTGCATATGGCTCACACCTGTAATCATAGCTACCTAGGAGGCTGAGATCTAAGGATCGAAATTCAAAGCTAGCCCAGGCAAGAAAGTCCATGAGACTCTTAACTCAAATTAATTACAGAAAAAGCTAGTAGTGGTGCTGGGGCTCAAGTGGTAGAGTACTAGCCTTAAGCAAAAGGAGCCTGGAAACAGCACCCAGACCCAGAGTTCAAGCTACACTACCAGCAAAAAAAAAAAAAAAAAAAAAAAAAAAAAAGACAAGGTGGACACTGTTGGCTCATGCCTCTAATTGTAGCAGCTCAGGAGGTTGAGATCTTAGTATCACAGTTTGAAGCCAGCCTGGACAGGAAAGTCTGTGGCTCAAGTCTGTGGTAGAGTGCTAGTCTTGATCAAAAGAGCCCAAGGACCGTGCCCAATCCCTGAGTTCAAGCCTCATGACTGCAAGCGCGCGCACGTATGCACACGCACACGTACACACACACACACACACACACACACACACACACGGGTCTTAATTATTTTTACATAGAACTTACTAGTTTTCTCTCTCACTCTGTCTCTGTTTCTGGTGGTACTGGTGTTTGAACTCAGGGCTTCACTGATTTTTGCTTTGGAATTGGAGATGAAGTCTTTCAGAGTTTTTTTCCCAGTCTAATTTTGAATCTCTCTTTTTTTTTTTTCCCCTTTGTTGGTCATGGGGCTTGAACTCTGGGCCTGGCCTCTTCAGCTCAAGGCAGGTGCTTTACCACTTGAGCCACAGTGCCACTTCTAGTTTTTCTAGTGGTTAATTAGAGACAAGAGTCTCACATACGTTCCTGCCCAGGCTGGCTTTGAAGGGGGATCCTCAGATTTCAGCCTCCTAAGTAGCTAGGATTACAGGTTTGAGCCACCAGCACGCGGCTTAACTTTGAAACTTGATCATCAGAGCTCAACCTCAATAACTAGGGTTGTAGGCCTGCGCCAGTGCTGCCCAGCAATGGTTGTAGGAATTTTATAGAAAAGTTCATAGACAGTAAATGCTGGGTTCCAGTGGGTCTTTCTTATGATTTTAGCTACTCAGGAGGTTGAGTTCTGATGATTGTGGTTCAAAGCAAGCCTGGGCAGGAAAGTCTATGAGACTCTTATCTCTAGTTAGCCACCCAGCAGCTAAAAGTAGAGCTGTGTATGCATGCCAGGCGCCGGTGGCTCACACCTATAATCCAAGCTACTCAGGAGGCTGCAATCTGAGGATTGCAGTTCAAAGCCAGCCTGGGCAGGAAAGTCCATGAGATATTTATCTCCAACAAACCACTAGAAAACTGGAAGTGGTGCTTGTGGCTCATGTGGTAGAATGCTTGCCTTGAGCTGAAGAGCTGAGGGATAGCACCCAGGCCCAGAGTTCAAGCCCCATAACTGACAAAAAAAAAAAAGGTAGAGCTGTGGCTCAAATGGTAGAACACCAGCCTTGAGTGTAAAAAGCTCAGGGATAGTATGCAGGCTCTGTAAGCTCACACCTGTAAATCCTAGCTACTCAGGAGACTGAGATCTGAGGATTGAAGTTTGAAGTCAGCCTGGTCAGGAAAGTCCATGAGATTCTTATCTCCAATAAAACCACCACCAAAAAAAAAAAAAAAAAGCCAGAAGTGGTGCTGTGGCTCAAGTGCTAGCCTTGAGTAAAAGAATCTCAGGGACAGTGCCCAGGCACTGAGTTCAAGCCCCAGTACCAGCACGAAAATAAAACAAATATAGACAGCAAGATTCCATTTATTAGAAATTAATTATTTTTATTTTTAAATTTACCATATTGTTATAAAGGTTATATACAGAGGGATTACAAATACATGAGTCAGGTAATCAGTACATTTCCTTTATACAGTGTCTTAATTCTTTGTAACTATGTTAAAGTGATTTGTACTTTGTAAGAAGGCTCTGATTTTCATTGAACTTTTTTCATAGGATATGATTTGAGGCAGTTATATATAGAATATTAGTTATACTTATTGATGAAAATGTTCTCTTATTATTGTAACAATTTGAAAATATAAATATTAAATGTTGTAATGAAATAGTTTCAGCTTGGTTTTGATTTTTCTTTTGTCTTTGTTGGTTGTGGTACTTGAACTCAGGGTCTGGGCACTGTCCTTGAATTTCTGCTCAAGGCTAGTGCTTTACCACTTTGAGCTACATCTTCATTTCCATTTTTCTGGTAGTTAATTGGAAATAAGAGTCTCATTGACTTTCCTGCCTAGGTTGGCTTTGAAATACGATCCTCAGATCTCAATTTCATGAGTAACTAGGATTACAGGTGTGAGTCACCAGCACCCAGCTGATTTTTTTAAATGTGGGATGTGTGTGTGTGTGTGTGTGTGTGTGTGTGTGTGTGTGTGTGTGTGTGTATGTGTATGTGTATGTGTATGCATGCGCACAGATGTGCATACCAGTACTTGAACTTAGGGCCTCAAGCTTTTGCTTGTGTGTTTTACTCATTGCTGGTGCTCTCTCACTTGCAACATGTCTCGATTTTCCTCTCACGATTAAAAAGTTTTGTTTTTTGTCCTGAGTAGCTAGGATTATAGATGTGAGCCATCAGTGTCTGGCAGCATAAAGTGTGTTCTAGGCAGTACACTACACAAAGTATGATGTAACATCTATATCAGATATTGGATAGAAATAATATTCCTTTTCGGTCTTCCTTTAAGTAGATGAGTTAATTTTTCTTTTTCTTTTCCCCCCCATGTATTGTTTCTTTGTTTCTGAAGGCTTTCCAACATAATAAATAATTTAAAAAGGGAATGTGAAATAAAAAGAAAGATAAATATAAGCAGGATAATGATAAGGAATGATTTTGCCTTTCTGCTAGCTTAGCCATGTACTTGCTCTCATCAGCCCAGTGGATCATTTGCCCCGCTACTTTTCTCTCTTAGCATTTGACATTTCAGAGTTAAACACAAGTATCTGTTTAGGAATCTCTTTTCATATGTCCTCATGTCCATATATCATAAATAGGGACATATTTTGAAAAAAATACTTTGTTTTAAAGATAAAATCTCACTATGTGTCCTCCCTTATCTTGAACTTGTGATTGTCCTTCTTTAGGCTGACATTTCAGGCTTGTACTACCATGCCCAGCTTCAACCCACCTTTATTTTTTTTTTTTGCTGGTAGTGAGGCCTGAACTCTGGGCTTGGACATTTTGTCTCAGCTCTTCAGCTCAAGGCTAGCGCTCTACCACTTGAGTCACAGTGCCACTTCTGGCTTTTTCTGCGTATGTGGTGCTGAGGAATCAAACCCAGGGTCTCATGCATGCAAGGCAAGCACTCTACCACTGAGCCACTTTCCCAACCCCAGCCCACCTCATTTCTTAATAGTTATAGGTGACAATATTAGGTCTGAATGTAAGACATATTTTGTTGAATATTTTTTGAGTATAGCAGCAATTGTAGACTCAGAGCTGCCATCACGGTCTTTAAGCTTTCCATTTTTCTCTCTCTGATGGCTTATCTTTATCTTTTCATAAAACATCTTTATATATGAATGTTCATCATCTAACTTGTAGGTTCACCACCATAAGGGACTTATTAGAAAATGTATTTGAAAAAACAGTATCATGTATGAGTTAAAGTTAAAAGTTAGAAATAGAAAATATTTCCAGGAGCTCCAGTGGCGCAATTGGTTAGTGCGCGGTACTTATAAGAAAATATTTCCAGCAACATACTACAAACATGGCCCAACAAATAATTTTTGCTCTGATTATTTTCTTTTGCTGATACATATATACTTACCAGCTATGAATCCTAGCTATATCTAATTATGATTACAGTTTTCTTGTTATAAATGTGCTTTTTTTTTTTTTTTTATCAGTGACCTGAAGATAAAGGTTGGTGGCAGGCATATCAGTGCTCACAAGTTTGTACTGGCAGCCCGAAGTGACAGCTGGAGTCTGGCTAACTTGTCTTCCACTAAGGAGCTGGACTTGTCAGGTGAGACTCTGACCTATCAGGGACACAAGTCACAGAGTAACTCAGCAGAAAGGGTTTGTGATTTTGAAATTTTTTTTAATCTTATTTTAATTTTCTTTCAAATGTTTTTTAAAACAAGTTTTTTTTATTGTGAAAATACTGTACAGAGGGGTTACAGTTATATGAGCAAGGTAATGAGTACATTTCTTATCAAGCATTGTTGTCTCCTCCTTTGTTTTTCCCTTACAATCCCTTCCTTCCCATCTTCACAACTACACTTCACCCCCCCTCCCCCAAATTGTAAAGTTCATTTTCAACATAGTGTCTTCTACACCTCATTGTTCCAATGGGTCAACCTGTATCCCTATTTAAACATTTTGTTTTTTCCCTTTCCCTCCCCAAATTATACTGACACCAAATACAGTGAAAACAGGGTTATACTATGGGGGAGAAACATACAAAACAACAAAAAAAATCACATAGTACATTATAAATACATTAGAAACAATAGCAAGCAAGAAAAAAACCACTTGTGTCCCTATCTTGGGGTTCATTTCGCTTAACTTCATCTTATCTGGTCATATGTACATAGCTTTTGACCTTTTCTGCTTGTTTCAGACACATACTAGTTATTGCAAATAGGGGAAACCATGGGACCTATGTTTCTTTGGGTGAATTTTTTTTTATTTGATGGATGTGAAATATTTTTCTTACCAATTGATGGTGATCGTAAGAGACAAATTTACTTGTAGATACTTGTCTTTAATCCCTGGGTAACAAGTCATAAATATTTGAGTATGACAGTGTTCTTAAGAGTTATAAATATATTTCATCTACTCATTTCATATAGTTGTTTTGTATAAATACAGAAATATATTTTCCTCTACTCCAAAAAGGAAGTTTTGCTGTAAGCTTGCTTATGTTTACATTTCTGTGTGTGTGTGTGTGTGTGTGTGTGTGTGTGTGTGTGTGTGTGTGTGTGTGTGTGTGTGTGTGTGTGTGTGTGTGTGTGTGTGTGTGTGTATGCATGCACGCACATGATATTTTGTTTTTGGTCTTTCTGGGGTTTATTGCAGCAGCCCTTAAAATTATGTAACTTCCAGAATGATTTTTTTCTTTTTTCTTTTTCCGTTTGGTAGTGGAACTGGTCACAAGAAACAAAAGAAGCCACATCAAGAGTCTTTATTAGAGAGCCAGCATGTGTAGAGTACTAGCCTTAAGCACAAACATATTCAGGGACAGCACCCAGGCTCAGAGTCAAGCCCCGGGACCAACAAAGAAAGAAAAAGTTTCACAAACTTTCCTGTCCTGCTGGTTTCTCTTGAGTTGCTGGAATTATAGGTGTGAGCCATTGGTGCCCAGCTTGGTCAGCTATTTCTTACTTAGAAAAACAAAAGATATTGATTGATCCTGGAAGAGAAACAATAATGAGCTAATTCTAGCAAGTCTTGAGGCCAGGAGGAGAGTACTTTTTGTGTAAAATAAAGCAACTTTTATCAGGCAAAGTGGTTGTTTCTAGCCCCTTTGAAGCACTTTATCAATAGTAGCTCATGTTATTTTAGAGAGTTTCCAATGTCTTAGCATGGGTGTTTTGAAGCTGGGCTGTATGATTTCTCAAGCAAAGGTCTTAATTTCCTGGCATAGAGCTTAGGGTATGAAGTCATGCAGCTCTCCTGGAATGTGTCCTGGGTCCTGTCTAGCTAAGCTTCTTTTCCTCATTTACATTCTGATTAGGAAAGCTATGCACTGAAATACCATATAGGGAGATTCCCCTGTGCATCGGTCCCAGAATAGTTTCCCAAACTCTGCCGAGGCACACCACAGTGCTCTAGCAAGCTCAGGAAGATCTATGTGGTATTTCAAGAGAGCCAGCAGTCCTCCATATCTATTAAGTACCGTGTGACAACTACCTCAAGACTGTTCAGTTTCAGTACTAAATTCTGAATTGTTCTTTTTGATGACATTCATAACAGTTTTAAAATATAGTAAAAATTTCTTCCTTCCTTCCTAACTTCCTAACTTCCTTCCTTCCTTTTTTTTTTGCCAGTCCTGGGACTGGCACTGGACATTGTCCCTCAGCTTTTGCACAAGGCTAGCACTCTACCACTTGAGCCGCAGTGCCATTTCTGGCTTTTTCTGTCTATGTGGTACTGAAGAATTGATCCCAGGGCTTTATGCTTGCTAGGTAAGCACTTTACCACTAAGCCACATTCCTAACGCAATAATATTTTTGGTCCATTGTGGGGCCTGGACTCTATCCCTCAGCTCTTCAGCTCAAGGCGAGCGCTGTACCACTTGAGCCACAGCACTGCTTCCAGTTTTCTAGTGGTTAATTAGAGATAAGTGTCTCACAGACTTTCCTGCCCCGGCTGGCTGTGAATTAAGATCCTCAGATCTCAGCCTCCTGAGTAGCTAGGATTACAGGTGTTAGCCACTGGGCTTGGCACAAATCTTTTGGTAAGACTTGTTTAAAGGTGTAGTCTACTCCATCTATCTATCTATCTATCTATCTATCTATCTATCTATCTATCTATCTATCTATCTATCTATCATCTATCTATCTATCATCTATCTATCTATCTATCTATCTATCTATCTATCTATCTATCTATCTATCTATCTATCTATCTAATCTATCTATCTATCTATCTCTAGTATTGGGGCTTGAACCCAGGGTTTGGGTGCTGTCCCATTGCATTTTCACTTAAGCCTGGAGCTCTACCACTTGAGTTGCAGTTCCACTTCCATCTTTTCTATTAGTTCATTGGAGATAGAGTGTTACAGGTTGGTCTGCTGGGCTGGCTTTGAACTGTGATTCCCAGATCTCAGCCTTCTGAGTAGTACACGGGAGCCACCGGTGCTGGGGTTTCCTATGCAATTTTTGTAGAATCTCCCAGTTACAAATTGTCTTTTTTTCATCTCAGGATGTCTTTGTTTTGCCTTCGTATCTAAAGGATACATTTGTTGAACATAAAAATCTCAGCTAGTAGGTTTTTATATCTTCTCAGCATTTATTTAAAGATGTTTTTACTGTGTTCTTGTCTTCCTTAGTTTCTGATGAGAAATCTGTGGTTATTGGAATCTTTCCCCTGTGTGCAATGTGTCATCATTTTTCTGTAGTTGTTTTCAGCAAAAGTTGTTCTAAATTCTCATAAAATATATATAACAAAACTTAAACATCTTCAGTTAGGTAACACTAATTATATTCAAATTGTCCTATAGCCATTCTCCAGAACTACTTCATCTTTTTCCTTTTCTTTTTCTTTTTTGTCCATTCCTGGGACATGAACTCTGGGCCTGGGCACTGTCCCTGAGCTTCTTTGGCTCAAGGTTAGCACTCTACCACTTGACACACAACCCCACTTCTGGCTTTTTCTGTGATTAATTGGAGCTGATCATGATTCAAAGTCAGCCCAGGCAGGAAAGCCAGTAAGACTTTTATCTCCAATTTACCATCAGAAAAACAAGTTTTTCTGGTGTTGTGGATCAAGTGGTAGAGAACTAACCTTCAGCTGACGAGCTCAGGGAAAGTGCTCAAGCCCAGAGTTCAAGCCCTATGACTGACATACACAAAAGAGTGTCACAGACTTTCCTGTTGGGATGGCTTTGAACTGTGATCCTCAGATCTCAGCCTCCTGAGTAGCTAGGATTACAGGTTTGGGCTGCTGGCGCTCTGCTGAATTTCTTCATTTTGCAAAACTTAAAGCTTATATCCATAAAACAGCAGTTCTCCATTACTTCGTCCCAAGTCCATGGCAAATACATTTCTATTTTCTGAAACTGAATTTAACTGCCTTAGAAACCTTATATATAAGGTTATAGAGTTTTTTGTTCGTGGCTAGCACTCTTCCATTTGAGCCACAGTTCTGCTTCTTCTTTTTTGATACTTAATTAGAGATGAGTCTCATGAACTTTCCTGCTCAGGCTAGCTTTGTACCAAGAACTTCGATCTCAGCCTTCTGAGTAACCCTTGCCAATTGTGTGTCTTTTATTGTGTGAGTGTGTGTGGGGAGGGAGCAGGAATCCTGGGACTTGAACTCAGGGCCTGGGCAATGTCCTTGAGCTTTTGTGCTCTAAGCTAGTGCCCTACCACTTGAATTATAGTTCTGCTTCAGGCTTTTTGGTAGTTTATTGGAGATAAGAGTCTCACAGACTTTAATGACTTAGCTGGCTTGGAACTGCCTCTGATCTTAGCCTCAGCCTCCTGAATAGTGAAGATTACAGCATGAGGCACTGGTACCTCTTCCTCCCACCCCCATTCTGTGTGTGTGTGTGTGCGTGCGCACGCGCATGCCTGTGTACATGTGCATCCATATATGCAAGCGGGTCCTGGTGCTTGAACTCAGGGGCTGAGCACTGTCTCTGAGCTTCTTCTGCTCAAGACTAGCACTCTACCACTTGAGCCATAGTACTACTTCTGGCTTTTTCTGTTTATGTGGTACTGAGGATTCTAACCTAGGGCTTCATGAATGCTAGGCAAGCACTCTACAACTAAGCCACATTCCCAACCCTGCACAGGTCTCTTTTAATCTTTGTTTTTCATATTCATCTTCTCTTTTTCTTCTGGTTGGTTTGTTTGGGTTTTTTTTTGGCGGTAGTAGGGCTTGAACTCTAGGCTTAGGCGCTGTCCCTGTGTTCTTCAGCTCAAGGCAAGCACTCTACTGCTTGCCTACTTGCTTTACTCCACAGGGTCACTTCCAGTTTTCTTTTTCTTTTCTTTCTTTTTTTTTTTTTTGGGTCCGGTCGTGGGGCCTGAACTCTGGGCCTGGGGCACTGTCCCTCAGCTCTTCAGCTCAAGGCTAGCGCTCTACCACTTGAGCCACAGTGCCACTTCTAGTTTTTTCTTTTTGCTTATGTGGTGCTGAGGAATCAAACCCAGGGCCTCACGTATGCAAGGCAAGCACTCTACCACTGAGCCACCTTCCCAGCCCCTCACTTCCAGTTTTCTATTGGTTTATTGGAGATAAGAGACTCACAGACTTTCCTTCCTGGGCTGGCTTTGAACCATGATCCTCAGATCT